CAGAGCATTAGATACACACAAATCCATGGCAAGAGAAGAATCTTGTATGAAGGAGTTGCAACTTGTTTTAAAACTACTCTATGAAATCCATGCACTCTGACACCAAGTCACACTGCCATCCTCTTTCTTTTTAAGATACTACTTCCCACAATGTTTGGAAGGATTAGTCTTTTTAAAAATTAATCTGTGGCTCTTTTTTTTACCTTACCTAAGAATTCCTTAGAACTTAAGTCAGACCTTTTAAGGCCTTGGCCATGAGCAGTTTGCTAATTGATTGAGCAAATCCAGAATAATCAATACAAATTAAGATAATCAGAATTGTTTTCACCCATTTCTTTCCCACTACTGTTTCACTCTCCTCTATAATGTTTTTATTTCTCCTTCCTTTACCATGATGTTTATGATATCACTTTAGATACAGTTTCTTACAAAGATTCCAAATTACATTTGTCACCGCAATAATAATGGCAGCTTATGCACCTACTTGATAAAACTATTAACATACAGGTTTGAGGGGAAGTTTTTGGTCAAATTTATTGGCCAAACACTTCCATGTTTTTCTTTGGCTTCAAAGAAGTCAACAAAGGTTTCTCAGGTGACAGAGTATGTTTCACTATCTGGTGATTCTGATCTCAATTTTCAAAAAACAGGAATTAGGGAAGCCTCCATTATACTTAATATTGATGCTGGGTTTTTTATTTTTAATACAACAAAAGCCTAATTCACATTGTTATGGACAAAATCTTGTCATGAATTACATTTCACAGGTAGCCCAGTATAAGACATTGACAAAGGTCAGTATAACATTGACAAAATTATTAAAATGTTGAAAGCGTCCAGGTTAGGTATAACAAGAAATGCCCTGTAACACTGAGAAAAAGAATCAGATTCTATCTGAACACAGCAATATGTTTATTAGCATTCTATTCAGCAATATATGTATGCTTTTAGAATTGTAAATGCACTGGATAATGCATGTAAAATAGATAAAGGTGTAAATTTTAACTGGTTTTGTCAAGTGCTTTGAAAACAGATTGATGCTGAGATAAAAACTACTGCTTCTTGGAGGACACAAGGGAAATTTCTTGCTTCAAGAGGATGAGTCCATTTTTACCTCTGGTAAATATATGGTAAGCTTGGAGTAATGGAGGTGCAACTTAATTTTTTTGACAAGTAACACCCATTATTGTGAAAAAGGAAGGAGGATTTTATTAGCTGTCTAGGTTATCGTATAAAGTTCTGTCAAAAAATTAAGCATAGTTTCATGAGGTTTCTTAAAATACAGTTACAGGTTAAAATCTGCCTTTTAATGAACAGCAAGGATTCTCAACATTTTCAGGGAAGTAAGAAGTCATTCTGATTCACGAAGTCTGTGAGAGAGGCATGGTACAGTCTGCTTTTAGCAAAATAGTTCAGAGTTTAACTTACTGCTCCAGTAATTTTATATAAAGATTGACCTGTGACCTCAGTATTATGAATAATCCTGCATGTCTAGTATAATGGGAAAAAAGGGGATAGTATAGTTGTTGCTGTATACCAGTAATACACCTTACCAGGAGTTCATGGGGAACTTGAATGGATACACAGTAGTATTTCTAGATGTTTTGGGAGAATTTGCGAAGTAGGAGCCATATGTAAAGTATATTTCAGTAATAAAGGAAATAAAGAATACAATTAATAACATTAAATTATGTGCAATTGACTTTAGCTTTCACGTTTGGAAAAAAATAGCATGAATTTTGACAGAGATCAAAATTCTAATGATCAATGAAAATGATTGTAAATTTTACCGTTTACATCTTTCCTCGGTTTCCTTTTGGGGAATCTGTTCTTTTTCTTTTTTCCATGATCTTCCAACAGTTCAACCAAGATAACAATGTGTAGATAAGACTTTAAGACTTTGCAGGTAAATTCTTTAGCTTGCAGTGAAATGTTTGCAGCAAACCTGGAAAACCAGTCAAAATATTACACCTATGTTATGTACAACATCAAAGAAGCAACCTTCAGTTCATGTGTTTAGTATTCACCTATTTGCTTTCACATCATTGGTGTTTTTGTTGTGAAAACACTAATTATTTTTCTTCAAATTAAAGAAATTCAGTGTATGATCATTAGTCTCCTTGGAGACTCTCTCAGTAACACCTAGATAAATAATTAGAAAATAACTAGATTAGAGAACTGGAAAAAAGGATACTTGGTACACATTGAGCCAAAAGTTCTTTTTATTGTTGAATTGCTATAGAATTTTTTACTTAGCAAATTTTTTGTGTTTAAATATGTGCAATATAAACCATGTAAAACAGCTCAGCAGCTTCTCCATTAACTTGTATAAATACCTAAATTACAGTAACTACTGCCACTGACATAAGTTAAGAGAAGCTGGATAAAACTTCAGTCATATTTCAGAGTTTTTTTATAATAACATGCTTCAGTCCTAAATATACAAATCAATCAAAATAGATGTGTTATTGTAATGAAATAGGATAAAAGATGTGCACATTCACCGTGCATTTACCATGCATGATTTACTAGAAAATAGTCCTAAAAGCCCTCTGGAGTTGGTAACAAGAATTGACCAAGCATACAAGGGTTGACATGTTGTACAGCTATTGTAAAGCATCTATTCAGTCATTCTGCCAGTCAGATCTTCCACTGTCCCATATTTAAACAATAGAATATATTTCTTGTTATTTTGTAATTTAAGAGTTCTTCTGTAGGTTCTTTGAATATTTGCAACAATTCTGTATAATTGTGGTAACTTATATTAGTCATCGCTTGCTTATTTTTCTGTTTTTCTTTGACAAAGTTTAGTTCATATCAGGCTAATAATTTTAAACTGTCAGATATTCATGCAAGTCAGCCAAAGAGAAATATTAAATCTTTTCTTTTTCTGATTACTGGTAATGTGTGGGGAAAAAATTACTCACATTACCAACATTTACAGATCCTTTTCTTGAAAGGACTGTCATTAAGGAAGGTGTGCCCACTAGTAGTGTCTGCTTTTGGTTTGTTTGCATTGTTGATGTTAGCATGAAGAGCAAGAAATAACTCTATGCTGGTGCTTTTTGTTTTTCTTACCACTGCAGGTGGTAGAAAATAGAGGTCTGTTGTGTCATTAATCTTGTTAGAAAGTTGTCTGACGTTTTCTTCTTTTTCTGAAATGCTTGCTGCATCAAATTTGGATGGAGAAGCTGAAATAAATTATTATTTACTTGGTGTGGCTGATGCATTCTGTGCTGATCTTATCAGGATTAAAGAGATTTAGTAACAGTAAGACCAAGTGATGGACAAAATCATACTCTGAAATAAAATACAATCTCTCTTAAAGCGTCAGTATTACTTTTATCAGAGAAATAAACCTGAGCTTTAGACACCCACAGTTTTAGAAGTGAGATATTTGTCACTGCCTTTTGTCTCTAGAAATATCTACCTTTCTCTCCATATTAAGAATCAATGGACTCAGGTGTGAGCAGGTCTGTTATTGTGAAATCATAGATATCTATACATGGTTTAGGCCCATCTGATGTCAGATGGCTGTTTTCAAGACTACTTACAGAAAATTAGTTTGCACTAACAGAAAATAGGGGTTGAAAGTATTAAAATATGCTTGCAGTACTTAACCTATAAATGATGCATCATTAAAAGGGGTGCATAATTGATGTGCAAATAAAATTGAAGTCTATTCACAGAAAAAAAGCGTTAGAATTTGACTTAAGTTTTATGTAAATGATTACCTTACTGTTGTACTTGGCATAGTTTTGATGTGAAATATTTACGTAATACAAATTATAGTATGCCCTAACTATTTTCACATGTTGAGCAGCTAGCAATCTCATAGCGCAGAAAATTTTACTGCTGCTTTCTTCCACATTTTTAGATTAGTTCCATATCTTTTTGAAAGCTTGAAACAAATTCATTTTTTTAATGCATTGTGGTTTACCATAATATATAAAGAAGCTGTGAGAAACATACTGGGATAAGAGGAGAACGAACAAGTTACTTAAGCAGTTACTTATCTGTCTTAATATAGTAAAATTAAAACTTATGTCTTAAAAGTCATTGAGAAAAGAAAAAATTAGTCCCTTTTGTCAAAATCTATTTGATGTGAAAGTCTGAAAGTACCACAAGTGATTTATAAATTTTGGGGGTCATTTTCTCTAAACTCTTCAATGTACATGCAGGTTTTTTTAGTTAGCATCTTATGGTAGCATCTATTTACTTGTCAGTCAAGCAGGGGAAAAAAAAAGTCATTTCATCTCCCTCTAAGAGAGACAGATTTGTAGACATGACAACGAGGGTTGTAGGGACTGAAAACTGGATAAACTGATTTGTCTACCTGTAGTTATACTAAACAAGGGAAAGCAGTGAAAAAATGTCATTTGTAGAATGATTTAGATTTGTGTTATAGAGTGGATATAAATGTGTGTGTATGTGTAAGAGGAGTTCTTGGTGAAAAGTCTCTTCCAGGGATTCAAATAAATTCTAATTAATTTTGTGCCCCATAGTGTCAGTGATGCCAATACTGAACCCAAGTGACCTCACTAGTGCTGTTGCATTCCTTTTCAGTACAGATGACCTTACCGGTAAATTATCTTCTTTTTTTAAAATAAAAATAAAAATCCACAAAACCCCCCAAAAAAAACCCAACAAAAAACCCACCCAAAATAGAATAGTGAAGGACTGCTCTAGATCTTCTGGATCATCTGCTTTTGGCCAACAGAAAAATTCAAGAATAAAAGTTTATCCTAATTTGGATTTTCTGCATTTTGTCTTTGGTTAATATAATTTTAGTCTTGTTTGCAGTGCTTGGGGTTTTGGTTGGTGGTTGTTGTTCTTTTGTAAAAGTCATGGATATTCTTTAGCAGGTAGTTGCAGGCCATTCTCTTCCTTCCATGTTTGAATTTCGGTATTATCTATCCTACTCACTAACTGGTCAAAATTGTTGCCAGTTTTGAAATAAACAGTTGAGTACTTTCATTTTGATTTTTAATGTCTTCCAGAACGGTGTAGCTAATCTTTCTTGATGGTGAACCCATTTGGGCTTGTGTGCCACCCTTATAACACTTCTCAGGCCATCACTGGGGTGAGTCTTCCAATACTTTAATTTTGTTTTCTGACTTCTTATTCCTCTTATTGGTCACAAACCACACTATACAGTAGCTTCCTTTAAGAGGCAACTTCTTTCCATACTTTTCTAACTCTGCAGAAGTAGCAGGAATTCTTGACTGTTTCTTGGTCTGTTCTTGTTGTTACCTCAAACTATTAGGTAGGGACTGGTGAATCTCCTCCCAAACTTCCTCTTTCTTACCCTATATTCCACTAACCAGAAGTTATTTTCCTCAGTTGTGGATATTTTGTGAATTTTGAGCTGTTGGATAGCATTTTCAAAACCAAACAAAAAACCCTACCCCATGTAACAGAAAATAACCTGCTTTGTTGAACTGTTGGAAAATAAAGAGAGACAGCAGTCATACCAAAGGAGGAGTTCAAACAATACGATCACATATATAGCAGAATTTATTATCCTAATCTCTTCCTTGTGAATCTGATTGATAAAATACTAGCTCTAATCCTAGTTGACTTTTCTTCCACTCTTCTATAAGTCACAAGACACAGTGGAAGTTTTAATGCACAGATTGTTTTGTTTGCTTCTCAATAGAGACAAAAGAATGCATTAGAATTTGTTTCAGTCTGTATAATTTAGAAGCAAAATTGCATGGATATTCTTGTTGACTGACTTATATTAATGAGAATGACGATATCATCAGAGTGTAGTGATGAGTCAACATTTGCTAAAAAAGGCTCTTTGAGTGACTGATGCATTACACATCATTAATGACGATATCTTAGACATCTGAACTGAATTTCTCTTCTTTTAATCAAGAAAATTTAGTGTAATTTTTAGTCTCCCATATTTTTTTCAGATTATAATGACTTGAAAGACATTGTGTTTGCTTATAATTATATGTGCTAGAAGTTGAATGAATTATGTTGTTACATTTGAACTGCAGAGAGATGCTTGTCACAACTGAAGTCCTAGAAAATAAAATCATTTGTATATGTAAGGAACAGGCAAAGGCCACAGGCAAGCTCCTAGATAGTACATGCTTCCCAGCACTGTCACTAAAATGCTTGAGTTTTGACCTAAAGAGAGCCCCCTAAAAACTGAAATGGTAATTCAGTTTTAGTATCCGTTTAATCTTTTTTTCTGACAAAGTGGCAGTATGGTTGCCAGATCCCATTGTGATAATGTTTTATTTCTGAGTGAACAAATGAACAGTAAGAAATAAACAAAAATGTTAGAAAACATGTAAGTAATTTTATGTAGAACAGGCTAGGTGATTGAGATGTTTGACTACTACCTTTAAAGCTACATTCAGTCTGGTAGTATAAACATGAGAATTCCTGAATAATTCCATTTCTAGCAGACAAATATTGAAAAAAGCTATCACTTTCCCTAATTTCTGCTCCCCTCTTAATGAGAAGATACACCAGAATAGCTACTTACACTCTGAAAGTCCCATTCTTACTTGCAGACTAGGCTCTAGAAATAATTTGTTTTAAAGCTTCAGGTGCACTGACATACAAAATGTAAGTTAATGCCACTTTGTTGTCAGAATACCCTTTTCAAATTAAAAAAAAAGTAAAACTTTATCATTTCAAATCATTTTCAGCTAATTTTGAAAATAAAAGTAAACTTTTTTTTTTTTTTCAGAAGATAGTGGTAACTGTCATATTTACCAACGAAATTAGTTTATTACCTTAATCTTAAATTTCCACGGCATTATACAACTGAAGAATTTCAGTAGACTATGGCTTTAAGAACACAAACATGAAGTAAATAATCCTTCATGCAGATGTAACTTTTTTTTTTTTTTTTTTAACCTTCCTTTCGTTTTTAACCTTCCTTTCGTTTGGTTTGGTTTGGTGTTTTTGTTTTTGTTTTTTTCCATCCAGATGGAAAGTAAATAGGAGAGAGAAGGTAATATGCAAATTCTCCTTATAAAGCTAATGAGTTTGGGGTATTTAAAACTAATTCTATGCTTGTTCTTCACTGTAGCTACTGAATTTAATGAAATAATATACTGCAATTAATTTAAATCTTCAGTGTTTCAATCTTGCTTGGCACCCTGGTCATTAATCACTTCGAGTTATTTAACAAGTTAAAGTTACAAATCCAACCAAACAGGAAGGAATTTTTCCTTCTCCTTTGACAGATGTAAGTCTTGATGCCTGTTCTTATGAAAATAACTCATTTCAGGGATCTGAACTTGGGCATAGAGATACCAAATCTGAACCTTTTGGCATGTAAGTGTTGAAAAATCTCAGAAAATGGCCTTCAGGAACACTGTTTCTTTTTAGGTTTTCTCTAGAAAAATGATCTTCTCAAGTTTTTCATCAGAAGTCAGACCCTTCAAAAACACTTCAGAATATCTTTAGGTTCTGACTGTTGACTCCTGTTTCCCAATTTATCTGTCTGTAATGAATTCCCCAAAGGCTGAGACCATCTGGTTCTTCATTTTTTTTAACTGTTTCTCAGTTTTTGTGAGCCTTGAATTAAAACTGTCAGGCTCAAGGTTTATAACCATAATGATTTCTCAGACATCATTAATTTTAATGTTTCCAGGATCTGTTCCATTTTTGTTCTTACTCTTATCTCCCACAGGACTAAGAGCTTCTTTTCTTGTAGAATGTGCTTTAAAAGTGGATTAAAATGAAATTAAATAAGTGGGGGGAATCACTGAGTTGCAATCCAAATCTTTATCAGAGTTGGTTTAAATTCTTATATGTGAAGTAGCTGTTTATGCATTTTCTTGCTTTCACTTAACCTTTTGTTAAACATAGAAATAATTCTGTTTTGCCAGTGGGCAGACCTCCTCTAATGTAGGTGGTGATTATACATAGTAAGTAAACATGTAATAGTACATTAATTATTAACATATTGTGTAAGGGTTAACCAGCTAGTCTCAAAGCACCTCTAGGAGGCTATTAAGTATTATTTATCCTTGGTTTTTTTAATTGAGAAGATGATGCCTGTTTGATATGAAGAGGATTGATTTAAGTATTCAAGGGTTCAAGTGCTTTCCAGTCAAGACTGAGAGATACTCAAGCAGAGGGGACATTATTTGCTTCCCTCCTATGTCTCTAGTGCTATGGCCAAGGTGAAGGTTAGGGTTTTTTTAAATCAGAAATTTGAGAGTGATGTGAATGATCATAGGTAATAGAAGTACAAGAGATGTAACAAATATAAGCAGCTGAAATAGCCTTTGTAGTCCTTACAAGTATCATTGCTTTTTTTTTCTGTGTACAGACACCTATTTATAAATGCTGATGTTATTTTTCACCTCTCTTCTATAGAAATTGAATATTTAATATACATTCCATTAAACTTGTACATCTTTTGCTCTATATCAGAACTATCCATTTACTATCCCAGTGATAAAAGAGTGAAATCTTAAATATGTTTTTATGGATCTTTTATGATATATATTGTATGTCAGTCTTGTTATGGATTTTTTAAAATTATCTTAATAGTTGACTAAAAATAATACTTTGGGGATTATTATCACTGCATAAAAACATAAGTTTAATATTGATACAGACATGAAAATTGAAAATATATATTGATCATGACTTGATCGTGGTTATTGTAAATGCCCAGAGCAAGAACTTATATAGTATAGTAGATAAATCACAGAAATGTCTAGGGATCTGTTGATCTTTGCTTGCATTCTTGGTTTAAGCTACAGGAACCTTAAATATTATCTTTTTAGAAAGTGGGGTTGTACCATTTGATAAAGTACTTAAGAAAAAGGCTAACACATAATGTGAACCTTGGGTCGCATCATCTACTCCTCAAGTCCATATTTTCCCTTTACTACCATCACAGCTCCTTTGATTTCCATTCCTGTGGCTTGTATCACATATTTATTCAGAGAACGAACAAAATTCCAAGTGAACAAGGGTCTACCAGACCTTAATAAGGAATCCTTTGTAAGGATCTCTGTACTTTTTTCCCATGATAGACTTGCAGTTCTTTTTGGTGGCTCTCCCCTCTCAGGTGTCCCAGAAACCTTGAATAAATGTGTAATGCTTTTGTTAAAACTTTGAAGCTCATATAAAATAGGACAAGTATATTTCATGTTTTAAAATTCAGTCATCTGCTGAAATATCGACTCAACTGTATTTCACACTTTAGTAGTAATGATTTTAGAAGTGCTTTGTCTGGAGGAGGGCAGCAGATTCACAATTGTAAATATGTTAATCTGTATATAAAAGAGAGCTTTAAGGAATATTCAATACTTGTTTTAAAACAATATATATTTTTTTTAAATCAGAAGTGGAGGTAGTGTTAGGATTTTAGCAGCCCATATTACGTACCAGTTGGTGCTATCATAATAGCCAGTCTCACTGCTTAGGAAATCAAGGAAACACTCTCCTTTAGTTAAGATAAAGTTGGTGTGCTCATTCACAGGCAGAAATGCGCACTCCTCCATGGTGTCAGAGATGGAGGTGATAGGAGTAGTCTTTTGTGTGGGTCACACAGGGAAAGAACATTCTTGGTCTATTATCTTTTCCTTTTTCTTCTTGCTAAAAACCAGAGAGGACTAATAAAAAGCTACAAAACACATGATCTTGACTTTTCCAAGTACAACTCAGCTTTTATTACAAAGGTGTAGTTGGTTGTTCAGAATCATGCTCCACTGCTAGATACCATCATATAGATTAGTTCTGTGACTTAGCATCACCAGAATAATCATGAGCTCTGTGTGGCTGTTAATGGGATGCAAGAGAGAAGTTGCCTTTTGTTTTCACAGGGAATGGCTATTGTACTGTCTGTACAACAGACAACACAAAAAGCTTTAAACGTGAGTATGGTATTTGAGCTGTGTTTCATCACAATTGTAGAAAATGGTCAGGACAGGAGCTCAAGCATCAGAAGGAGCTTCCTTTTAAAATACTTTGTTTGTATGATGGACAGATAGTTGCTGCATTTCTGTTACTGCCTGGAAAACTTCTGCAGATTCCTTTCTTTACTTCTAGGTGTCCAGGAATGTTCAACACAGTCAAATTCTATAACTA